TTTTCACGCCCAAAATTTTAAGCAAAAAATATTTTATGAGTTCAAAAAGATTTTTGAACATATTTTGATTTGATAAGAATTTTAAATTTTCTTTATAAATAAATCTTTTTTTTGAGGAATTCTTTTGGAAATTTTATTATATAAATAAACAATCTTTTAGATGAAATCTTTTATAATTTTTGTAAAATTATCTATTTTTTAAGTATAGAGGTGGTTTTTTCTAAACAGTTTTTTTTTAAATATTTATATTAAACTTTTTTATGTTATTTTATATGATCTTTTTAAGGATAATATTTTAATGTGACAATTGTATTCTTTAATTTTAACATTTTTGAAATTTTTTGACACAAAATGGTAAAATTAATATTTACATGGTAAAGATGTTAAATTATTAAGTCAATGAAGATGTTCCTTGGAAAAATGACAATTATCATAATCGGTATTTTTAAACATATTATATTTTTTGACGCTAATGGTCAAACAAAATATAAAATTATTTTAAACCTAAAAATCTAAAATATTTATAACATGTTAAATTAAAATTTCAATTAAAATGTTACATATTAAAGTGGCAATGTCATAATCGTTATTTTTAAAGTTTTTTGATGCAAATGGGCAAAAATAAGTATTGTTAACATGTTAAATTAAATATTTAGTAAAAATTTACCCTTAAGAAGTGACAATTATCCTAATCGTTATTTTTAAAGTTTTTTAAAAAATTTTTGATGTTAATGGGTTAAAATAAGTATTGCTAACATGTTTAAATAAAATTTCAGTGAAGATATACCATAGATAAGTAACAATTGTCACAATCGTTATATTTTAAAAGTTTTTTTTACCCAAATCGGTTAAAATATAGATTGTAAAAATGTCAAATTAAAATTTCATGAAGATGTACCATAGGAAAGTGACCATTGTCATAATCTTTATTTTTAAAGTTTTTCAATATATTTTTGAGAAATCATTCAAAAAAAAATATTTTGTTTAAATTTTATTTAAATAATTCAGAAAAGTGTAAATTACCACATTCGTTCTTTAACTTATTTCTTTTGAGAAATGTGTTAGCTCTATTTGGCGAAACAAAAAACAAATGGCAATTTTCATGCTCATTATCGTTGTCCCTTTTATCCTGCTTAAAATTTGATAAAAATATACAAAGTGATTACTAAAGAGGGTTGTAACTCATGTTAATTTATATACTTTTAAGATATGGACTCACAATCTTATTAATTAATATATTTTAATTCTACATTTATTAAAATGTATACCCTGCATTTACAATTAGTAAATTTTTACGCACGGTGAAATCGAGCTGAGTCTGAATTCAGGGTAAGATTTTTATGAAAAGAACTTAAAAACATATAAAATGTTTACAATAAATATTTTAACCCATTTACGTCAAAAAAACTTTAAAAATAACGATTATAACAATTGTCACTTTTCTATGCTACATTTTCGTGAAATTTTAATTTAACATGTTTACATTCTATATTTTTACCCATTTATGTCAAAAAACTTTAAAAATAAGATTATGATAATTGTCACTTTTGTATGCTACATCTTCATGAAATTTTTTTAACATGTTAACAATATATATTTTAACCCATTTACGTAAAATAAATTCAAAAACTTTCAAAATAACGATTATGGCAATTGTCACTTGGGTACATCTTTACTTAAGTTTTATTTCAACATATTAGCAATACTTATTTTAGCCCATTTACCGTCAAAAAACTTTAAAAATAAAGATTATAATAATTGTCACTTATCTATGGTATATCTTCACTAAATTTTTAATTTAACATAATAACAATACTTATTTTGCCCATTTGTATAAAAAACGATTATGACAATTGTCACTTTTATATTATCTTAATAAAAATTTTAAATTTAACATGTTAAAAATTCATATTTTTGCCCATTAGCGTCAAAAAAATTTAATATTTAAATACTGATTATGATAATTGTCACATTGACTTTATAATTTATCAAAAAATGTTAAAAAATAAGGAATATAACAATTGTCACATTAAAATATTATCCTTAAAAAGATCATATAAAATAACATAAATTTATAAAAAAAAAATTATTTTGAAAAAACCACCCTTTTAATATACTTAAAAAAATAGATAATTTTACAAAGATGATAAAAAAAACTCTAAAAGATTTCGCCTAAAAGATTGTTTATTTACAATAAAATTCACAAAATAATTTCTCAAAAATGATTTATTTACAAAGAAGATTTAAAATATTTATCAAATCAAAATATCTTCAAAATTCTTTTTGAACTTCAAAAGATTTTTTTTGCTTAAAATTTTGGGCGTGAAAATCACTAATAAATTATTCTAACAAAAATAATATTACAATAGTAGCATATCATCATTTTTTATTAAAAAAACATGAAATAAATAAATCTATTTTTATAATATAATCATATTTTATAATATAATATAAATAAGCTGGTCGCCTGAGTTAATTTTTCGACTCAAAAACTGGCTGAATTTAGGGCTAAGCCGGCTTGGCTCAGCCGTTTAACAACACTAATTACAAATAAATAAATTTCGGCTCAAAAGTTGGCTTGAGCTAATTCCTGAGCCGACTCGAGCCAGCTGTCTCATCTGAGTCTATATTTCAGCTCAAAAACTGGCTGAGTTTAGGGCTAAGCAGGCTTGGCTGAGCCATTTAACAACAGTACCAGGTTATATTCTTAAGTAATATATTTATATTATATAAATATATGCATTCTTTACCTGATTCAATTACATAAAAAATATTAAAGTAAAATAGATGAAGCGGCATTAAAGAAAAATTAATCTTTGATGTTTTTAATATTTTCTTAAAATGTATAAGTTATATTAAAAACTAAAATATTATTCATAAAATTATACAAAACAAATTACAAGACTGGAGTGGAAGAATTTTTAAATATTTTATACTTGTAACTTAAAAATAAGCACGTGAACTACCTAAGAGTTCTGGAGCCCACTTAAGTGGCTCAACGAGAGGATTTTCCAACAGGAGACAAAATGTATATATAATATAAAATAAAATCTTTGTTGATATTGAAGACAGAAATATTCAATAATCAACTCAAACGATTGAAAGATGGCTGTTAGACCTAAAACATTTAAAAAGTAGGGACGGGCCGGCCCTGAATATATAAAGCTCGTACTATGTTTAAATATTTTTAAAAAAATCCTGGCCAGGTTTTTTTTTTCAAAGGAGCCGGGACGAAATTTTTCTTTTTTAAATTCAAGCCATGCAAATGATACTTCTGCAGCTATCTGATAAAATAATTGATATTAAGACCACATTTAAAAATTCATAAACAATACTTAATATTAATAAAAACCACCTTTAAAAATGTTTAATAAAAAAAATTAATTAATATTTACATAAATTCTATGAAAAAATAAAATGTTGAGTTAATGAAGGATTAATTATCAAAATATCTTTAGGTTAAAAGAAAAAAATGATTTATTTTAATTTCTATACCTATAAAATATTAACATGTATAAAAAATAAATAAAAAATAAAATATATATGGGGTTTAATTTATTTACAAATTCCAAATTTGTCTGTTTTTTTCCATTTATAGCATGGGATAAGTATAAATAAAATTTACATTATGCGATAAAAAACACAAATTCAATATTATAATAGATATAAAATATAAAAAATGAATCAGACTTTGCAAAAGTAATAATTCAAATTTCAAACAAGAGTTACAAATTAGTGATTAAATTTCCTCCATGCCTTCATTATTTTTATTTTTTTTAAGATTAACTTTATTTTTATTTATCATTAATAATTAATATAAAATAATAATTTTAAAAAATTATATTAGACGATAATAAATTTCAAAATAAAAAATATTACGAAAGAATGATTAAAAATGAATCAGACTAGGTAGAATATAGTTTTTTAATGCAGTTGTCAATAAACAAGTGAGCGACCTCAAAGTTCTGAAACAACTTCGGCTAGCCCATTTATGTTGCCCATCGAGCTAGCTTGATTATGAATTTATTTTTTTACTCAAAACGTGGCGCTTCAAATGTCTCAATCACATATAAATAAATTTCGGCTCAAAATTGAACTCATCCTGAGCCGACTTGAGCCATCTCTGAGCCTGCCGACTCATATGTTTCAATGAGTTAGTTTAAGCCTGAGTCAATTTTCGACTCAAAAACTAGCTAAGTTTAGGGCTAAGACGGCTTGGCTCAGCCGTTTAACAACACCACAAATAAATAAATTTCTGCTCAAAAGTCGTCATGAGCCAACTCCCAAGCAGGCTTGAGCGAGTCGAATTTTCGACTCAAAATCTGGCTGAGTTTAGGGCTAAGCCGCCTTGGCTCAGCCATTTAACAACACTAATCTCAAATAAATAAATTTCGGCTCAAAAGACGGCTTGAGCCAACCCCTTAACCGGCTTGAGCGGACTCGAGCCAGCCGGCTAATAAGGCTCAAAAACTGATGAGTTTAGGGCTAAGCAGGCTTGGCTCAGCCGTTTAACAACACTAATCTCAAATAAATAAATTTCGGCTCAAAAATTGGCTTGAATCAACTCCTGGCTTGAACCAACTTCTGAGCCGGTTTGAGTCAACTCCTGAGCCTACTCGAACCAGCCGCCTCATATGGCTCAATGAACTGGCTTAAGCCTCAGTCGAATTTTTGACTCAAAATCTGGCTGCGTTTAGAGTTAAGCTGCCTGCGCATACCATTAATGCTTTAATATTTTATTATGTATATTTAAAAAATAAAATAGTAACAACATAAATTCTTTCCTTTTAAAGAAACTAGATATATTTTTTAAAACATTAATTATTTTGCCGAAGTCTCGAAATAGTTTTAAAAAATTAACAGCGTTATTGTAATAATATCATAAAATAATAGTGTTTAAAAAATTAAGTGACACAATTTTGTATACCTTATAATAATAAAAAATTTATAATTTGAAATAGTTTAACGATATAAAGCATTTATTTTAAAGAAAACAAAATTGCTGGTGATATAATAATTAACGAGATAAATATAACAAAAAATAGATATAATATTTTAGGCCTTTCTAAAATTATTAGCCCATTAATAAATAATTTCTATATTATAACGTAACTTTATAGTGAATCGTAATACATAGTGCTAATAATGTTGGGGAAGGATGGATTAAGTTATTTATTTGATAATGAAATTGTAAATGCTCAATTAATGTTTTAGCATAAAATAAACACGTTTGATGGAATGGTGCAAAAAAAAAGTGAATAATTATTTTGTGAAGTAAGATTTTTTAAAGGTGAGAAAATAATAGAAGCAATGTCGCGTTAGTTTTTATAATTTAATTTTTAAAAAACAAATACATTATAATATTATTAAAATAAAAAATAATTCATCTAATTATGTAATGTCTTCAAATGCCATTATCTAAATTCCAAGAATTTGCGCTAAGGTTTTATAGGGCGAAAGGTCTTGATTGCAGATATTGAATGCAACCTTTGCAAAAGAGTAAAGCTCCTAATGTATAGTAAATTTTTTTAGTATTTTTAATAATCGTATGAAATCGTAAAATAATTTTAAAAAGATAAATCATTGATTATTAGTAAAATGAATAAATTTTAAGATTACCTAGTATTATAAGAAGCCACCACAACCAAATTTCAGCCGATGTGTAATTTAAAGAATGCTATTGATTTTTTTACCAATAAAATATGATTAATGAAGCCGAATGCAATATAGTAGCCTTATTATATCCTCATATTATGGGAAACGTATCTCGTTATTCATAAAAAGTGAAAACAAAAATTAATGGTTTAAGAAAAGGCCGCCAAAACAAATTGATATGGTAATTCTATGGTAAGATACAAGCATTACATGATATATTTTTATTATTTTATAGATTTCTTCACTCGAATATATGCTCCCATTATGGTTCTTATACAGTGAATCGATTCAACGTTTAAAATCGGGGTGTCGTAATGGTTCAGTTTCATTCCGATTTTATGTATAGTATATAAATAATAAGCTTATCTAGAAGCCGGACGTGAATTAACAATCCTCCATAGTATTTGCATTAAATATAATTTGGTCAATATATAATATTCATCATAATTAACCTGTGATAATTTCTGTTCGTTATTTATATAAAAAAATTAATGAATTAAAACAGGGTGCTAACAGCACAGAAAAAAAGTTGAATATATTTTTATAAATTCCATATTTTTTTTATATTAAGCATTTTGATTATAGTTGGGTTATTACTATATTTTTAGCCGAAAAAGATCGTTTTGGCCTAGGGTTTTTTTTAGAAAGTTAATAGTTCAAATTTGAAAGAAACTACTATAAATTAAAACGCCTTAATATTAAAGGATTTTATCCGATTTGAGCCGAAATTTAGCAAGTACCCAACTATAATTCGAATGGGCAAATCGTTAATATGGCAATATTTTTTATATAAAACTGGAGGACATAACATTTACAATTAAAGTAGTGCAAAAGCAATTTAAGCGGAGGGCGTTAAGATCCAAATATCGGTTGGTACTAGTGTTGTTAAAAAGCCCGATTCGGGTCAATTTTAAAAAACGGCCTGATTAAAATTATACCCTAAATAACATTATGTAAGCCTAAAGATTTTAATCTATTTGCCAAATCTCTATATTTACATAATATTATTTTAGCTAAAATCTTAATTTGGCAGTTTTGAAAAATCGACCTAAATCGAGCTTTTTAACAATACTAGTGAGTACTAGTGCATGAAATTTAAAAAAGAATCCTGATGATTTGAAAAATATGGTCAGTATAAATCAATACTGTATTTTTTGTATTGTGTTCATAAAACAGATATTAATTAGGAATTTAGTGGCCATTTGATAAAGTAATAAATTTTAGGATTATTATTTCACTTATTTAATATTAGATCAATAGGAAATGAGTTCATCTATGGGGGAAAAGATTAGGAATATACCATTAATCTTTATATTTTAACAAAAATTTCATTTTTTTCTTATTTTATAAAGACACGAATTTTGTATTATTAGATAAAAGGTTTTAAATTAATTCTTTTTTCTTCTTCAAATTAAAGCAGTATGCAATATTTAAAATGACTCTTCAGTTATAGATAGGGTGAAGGTGTAACTATATAAATAGTAAAAAATGATTACATAATTTGCAATAATTTATCTTTTTTTATAAATTATAAAAAATATTTTTTTATCAAATTATATTCTTTTTTAAAGTTATTTAAAAATAAGACATCTATTAAATAATCTGATATTATTTAGAAATAAAGTTATGAACGAAATATAATAAAATAAAACAATTTCGAAAACTTTGACAATGAATGTCCATTTGATGATAGACAAACCGAACCCCGAGAGAGCTCCGCATCTTCCGGCAATCGTCTGGGATACGCATATCGCGAACAAAAACCCGATCCAGTTGAAAATAAAGGCGACTTTATTTTTAAAAAAATAAAATTTAATTTTGTAACCATTGAATGAATATTTGGTTTTGTAGTGTAGTTTTGAAGATTTCTTAGGTTTAATAATTAGATCTTATAATTTCGATACCCTTAAAATATGAATGTACAACTAATAATTTACCATATTTCTAATGTCATCTTAATATTTTTTATAAGTACTTAAGAATTTTCGTCGTAGTTTATATCAAAAAAAAAGAATTAATTCCAATTATGTAAAAACATTTTTTCTCGTCGTTGCTTATCAAAAAAACAAAAAAATTAATTAATGATCATTATTACTTAATTTTCACATATTTATATACTAAAAGAGGGTTGACAACAACTATTGTTATCATATAAAAAAGCGATTCAATAAAGTATTATTATCAAGATTTTATACATAATGGTCATCCTTAAATCCTTGGACCAATTTCAAGTGAAGAAAATATCATAACTAGGTTTTATAAATTGTAATGTGTTAAAAAAAGGTACAGAACAATGATATACACAAAAACAAAAGGGATAATTAATGGACAACGTGTTTTCTTTAAAAACACAACATGGGGGGGGGGGCTCCCTGGCTACGCCTATGATCTTGGAATATTTCTAGACATGACGCAACAATATTCTAATTTTTAAAATTTTTGAGAATTTCCACATATATTATAAAATCAAATGCAAAGCAGAAACACGATTTATACACAACATTACATGGGCTGTTCTCCGAAAATTTTTTTTATTTATACGACCTGACGACCCGCGATTAGGTAATTATAAATCTGCTATAATTCGGAGGTGCGGCGGGTGCCGTCACGGTTATGTAACGATCCAATAAGAGACAGCGGTTACCTTACAATGTAGTGCCGCTGGTACTTACACTATTTTTGTAGTGTTTAATACAATTACCAAAATGCCCGCAAAATCTGGTATTCCTGTCACCTTCTCCGAAAATCCCGAACCATCGAACTCAGTCGATCCCTCCCCCTCCTTGAAGATAGTACTGCCTAAGGTCACTGTCCCAAATACTTCACCCCCCCCCCCGTAATACAATACTAGCTAATAAACTCCCGACTCTCTCCCAAAAATGTATACAATATTTCACCATAAAGGATAATTCGAAAGAAAAATATTAATATTGTTTTAAAAAGAATGGTTATAATTCAATTTTTATTTATAAAAAAAGTGCAAAATCATTAAAAAATGTAACATTGCTAAAGGACTCCAATAAGTGATCTTAAAGATCTCCAATAAAACAATGTGGGGGGGGGGGGGGGTGGCAACCTAATAATGCAACTTCTTAGAAAAATACATTAATTATTCTAATTTCATTTTTTATAATATTATATTTTTTGTAAAACAATTAAATTATTGTTATTGTATTGATACATTTATATAAAATATTTTTGACATATTAATACTTGTCATTTAGAAATAAAAATTATTATAAATTAAATATTAATATTAAATATATAAAATTCTTTCGAATAATTAGAATAGAACTTTATTTATAATTATAATATCGAATAATGCTTCATTCGTATTCATAAAATGGACCCAATAAAGTAGTCAATTCGATTTTACGATCAGCATGGACAGAGGAAATCATAGATGTAATACGAAAATATGGCATCAATGACTTCCAAGTACCCAAGGGAATGCTATGGGATGATAGAACTAAATGTTTTAAAAGATGAAATTGACCAAGTTAGTTAAATTATTAACCTCACCAAAATGAAAAAAAAAACTAGTTGAATAATGACTGCTGTTGCACTTGTGCAGACACAAAATTAACTTGCAAGTATATGTCAAAGACGTGTATTGAAAGAAAATAAAAGTTATTTATAATTTATTAAAATGTTGAAGTTGTAATCATATTAATGGCAATTATATGAAATTATTATTGATAGTATGTAAATTTTAGTGTTTAAAGTTAGTAAGATAGTTATATCGAAAATCTAATAATTAAGAAAAGAAAAATTTTATGCTTACTTTATATTTTGCTTTTATATTTTTAGTTTTATTTATTTTGTTTTATAATTGATTATTAAATAGTGAAGGTCAACGGTTCGGTCCTATCGGTCTTAGACCGGGACTGGACCGATCTTTTTTTAAGGACCGTGGTCCGGACCGGTCTTTTTATTTTTACGGTCTAGACCGCGGTCCGGACCGGCCTTTTATTTTTATTAAAGTTTGCTTTATTATTCAATTAATATTATTTTTTTGTATATTTTATTTTATGATATTTTTCTAGATGAGTTATTTTAAATTTTGTTAATTTTTATTTACAATATGAAAACCATAATTTGTCCAAGAAACATTTTACTTATATTCACAATAAAAAACATAGAGTATGTGTTCACTGCAGTACCAAATTTAATGTATCGTCAGCAACAAATAACAAAATAATTGTTTATAATTTTTTAAGCAATAATGAAATCAAAATAAGCAGTATTATTATTAAATATTTTGGTTATTATTTATATAGTTCTATTTTTTCTTAAGAAACTGTCTGAATAATTCATTGTCAAAATAACTTAACCTTATTCTTAATAAAATAATTAGGTACAAAAACACAATCTACTCTTAATTTTAATATGCCATCCACAAGCACAAAATCACTTTCTTCAATACCATTGGATAAATTTTATTGTTTATATAATGCTTTTATATTTAATAAAATGATAAAAGAAATTAAATTAGGTTAAAAAAAATATGTTTTTTAAACAAATAAAAAGACCGGTCCAGGACCGGTCTTTTTATTTAGCACTACGGTCTGGATCGATCTTTTTCTTAAGGTCCGTGGTCCGGTCCGTGGTCCGGTCCGAGGATATCGGTATAGTCCGGACCAAAGACCGGACCTTCACTATTATTAAGTAACTATTTATTTTAATAAATTAATTTGCTCTTCAATTCATGATCTTAATAATTATTAATTAAATTCGGAGTGAGGATAAATTATTCTCTCATTTAATTCGGATTTTATAGTATATAACAACAGGCTTAGTTATTTTATTATAAGTATGGTAACCCCTCTCCTTCTAGAATCTGCAACAATAAACATAGACAAAAAAACTGGTGAGGAAGGGCAAAATTAGCTATAATAATGTTCTTATTTTTATTAATTTTTTTTTAACATTATTTGTTTTTGAGATATAATGTTGATTCGTCATGAATTAATAAAATAATGCTTTTTAACAGGGCTTCCCCTTAGAGCCCAGAAAATATTTTCGGCAATTTTATTAATTAATTTTTTCAAGGCTGAACCCCTACTCATTTAGGCCCTGATATTTTTATTCTAAAAATATAAATTAAGCGCATTTTTCATAAAGTTAAAAAATAAAGATTAAATGTTTTAATTAATAGTAACTAATTTGAAATACTCGTCCTCTAGTCGACTCAAGTTGACGACTCGATACTCCTAATCCCAGAAAATTTTAATTATTACATTTTATTTTTTTTAATAAAAGATGCAAAACCAACAATCTCTATTATATTTTTTCAAATATTCCTTTATTTAATACGCCCAAGCATATTTTTTTTTATTTAAGCCGAGATCGGGCTGACTTGCAGGACACTAATTCCACTCTCTATTTATAAATGTTCCGGTTAGGTTTAGTGATTTATTAATTACTCGTTATTTTAAGACCTGTTATACTCGTAAAAAGTAGAAAAAATGGGCATATTTTTTTGTAATACCCCTTTGCTTTCCACCTTACATCAATATATACGGGAAAAAAAAATTGATCAAAAATTTAATATTTTTTTAAAAATTTACATAACAAATATTATTTTTGCCCATCTATTATTATTTTTCTTCTTCCATGTTCGTGGTTTTCTAGGTTTAACCAAATAAACCAGTTTTCCCCTCTTACCCTCCTCCATTTTTTACAACGATGAGCTTCGTTATTTGTATAATTCATTTTTCTCATGCCATCTATTAAATCCCCGTCATCTTCAAGGTACATTTCTTTGCCCGATCATCTTTCGTTCAACATTCCTAAATCACCTCAGTCTATTTCTTCTTCAAAAATCGTGTTACCCTCGTTGCTCACGATTATCGGTAGGAATTGAGATTTATCATTATATCACAGCACTTATAATTCCTTAATGTGCTATAATAGTTCATGTATGATCTGACTTTGTGGATGGCGTTATTTGTGGGTGGAATAACTTATCTTGAAAGGTATTTACACCAAACATGAAGATGCTTGCGCAAGTATCTATCTCTCCTTCAATATTTAAACTGTTAATTTCTGCTACCATTTTAATGTATTTTTCGTCCATTGGATCGATTATTAAATGGTTAATTTTGATCTAGAGATGGGCGGGTTTTAGCTAAAAATCCCTCCCACTAGTTATTTTAAAATTTTTAACTCGCCCCCGCTCACTTATAATTTTTTTAAAATTTAAACTCTCGCCCGCCAGCCCATTTATCTACAAATTTTGTTTAACCAGCCAGCCCGCCTAATGTTTAAAAATTATTTTAATGGCTTAATTGGTCTTTATTTATTTATTTATTTTTTTAATGTATTTTTAATTAAACATGTATAATATGAAATATTATGAAATAAAACTAATATTTTTAATGAATCGAAGTCTGTTCTGCTCATTTCGCCTGAAAAAATATTTAAAAAATCACCTGCCAATGCCCGCCAGTTTAAAAAATTTTTAACACCCCCCCCCTCCAATTTTGAAATCCTGACCACACCCGCCCAAGGTATGGGCGGATGGGCTAAAAATTCGCCCATTGCAGACCTCTAATTTGGTCTCCTTTTCGATTTTTTTATCTAGGCAAACGAATCGCTGGTCTGGTTATGATTTTAAGTGGTTTATCCATATTTTGAAAATAATTGGGATGGGAATTGGTTGTCAGTTGTCGCTGCCCGGTCTATCGGTTTTAGACCGGGAACGAACCGATCTTTTTTAAGGACCACAGTCAGGACCGGTCTTCTATTAATTAAGTTTGCTTTACTATTCAATTAATATAATTTTTT